AAACTGCTCCAGTAACCTTGCTAAGAAAACCCCAACAAAACAACAGACTTAGGAACCTTTTTTTTTAAACTTGTCCTATGCCCAGTTTATGGAGCACTGTCAAAAGATCACAAAAGCTTGCTCCAACATGTCTTAGTGACTGACAACTTTGGTACTGGTTTATTCATAGCCTCCACTGACTTTCTGTTAAAACACTACTGATAATCTTTTGTTTCTACATCGCCTTCATTTCCCAATATGACCCTCTCCCTTCCTCCATCCAGAGGACTGTCCCTTGTAACAAGGAAAATAAACGAGGGGAAGAAAGAAGTCCAGCAAAACTAACCCATTAACCGAGTCTGACATGTTCCACATCCACGGCCCCCAACATCTGTAAAGAAGGGAGGGAAGCCACTTCTTCTTTGGGGCCACGCTTGGTCATTATAATCATTTGGTTTTGATTTCCTTTTTTCCTTATAAATACACTTGCCACTTATGCTGTAGTTATCATGTATCTAGTTTTCCTGGTTCTGCTCGCTTCACTGCATATCAGTTTATAAAAGTCTTCCCATGTTTCTCTGACTTCTTCATATTTGTTGTTTCTCAGGGCACAGTAATACATACTCACATTTATGTGTCACATTTGGTTGAGTGAGCAAGGGTGGGGAACCTGGGGCTTTGAGGCCACGTGTGGCCCTCAAGGTTCTCAAGTGCGGCCCTTTGACTGAATCCAAACTTCACAGAACAGATCCCCTTGGGGGCACTTGAGGACCTAGAGGACCACATGTGGCCCCAGGTTCCCCACCCTGCCTTACACTTTCCCCAGCTGATGGACATCCGTTTGGTTACCAGTTCTTAGCTACTACAAAAAGTGCTGCTGTAAATATTTTTGTCTTTATTAGACCTTTTTTTCCCCTCTTTGACTTTAGCTATACTTTAGGTATGTTTCTAGCAGTGGAATCTCTGGATCAAACAATGTAGACACGTAGACATTTTCTTTCGTAGATCTCATCCACCTAGGACATCTAGGCTGCGCAGTGGATGCAATGCCAGGCCTGGAGTCAGGAAGACTTCAGTTCACCTCCGGCCTCAGACACTACTAGCTACGTGACCCTGGGAACAACACCGAAGCTCTGCTCGCTTCAGCTTCCTCATCTGTAAAATGGGGACAACAACGGCGCCCACCTCCCAGGGCTGCTGGGAGGCTCCGATGAGATCCCGTTTGCAGACACTTAGCAACATGCCAGATGTTATCGTTACTATCACCAAACGTCTAGAGTGGCTGGAGTAGCTCATAGCTCCAGCAAGTCTGCAATCATGTGCCTGTCTTTCACAACTCCTTCAGCATTAACTATTCCCATCTTCTGCCATCTCTGCCAGTTTGCTGGGCGTGAGGTAAAACCTCAGAGCTGTTTTATTTCTATTTCTTTTCATAGTCATTTGGAATGATCCTTCCTGTCGCTGTTAATAGTGTGAAAGTTTTCTTTTGGCTTTGGCTACCTTCGAATTCCCACTGGCTTGTTCACTGAAAGGCCAGTGATGTAAGATCGAATTGAGAACTTTTTTTTTTTTTGGCTAGGCAATGGGTTAAGTGACTTGCTCAGGGTCACACAGCTAGTAAGTGTCAAGTGTCTGAGGCCAGATTTCAACTCAGGTCCCACTGACTCTAGGACCGGTGCTCTATCCACTGCACCACGTAGCTGCCCCCGAGAACTTTTTTTAAAGTTCCTTCTCATCCTCTCTATCATCTTTTCTTTCTTTACTGTTCAAAATAAAAATGAGCTTTCCCAAATTCCACGCTGCCACCCGGGAACACTACATATGTCGTCAGACTAAGATGATGGCTTTTTCTCCCTCCTTTGCAGTCTTTGTTGGAAGTCATGAGCCTCAGGCAGCCAGGTGGTGCAGTGCATACAGCACTGGACCTGGAGTTGGGAAGACCTGAGTTCAAATCAAACCTCAGACACCAGCTGTATAACCCTGCAAAAGTCACTTCATCCTGTCTGCCTCAGTTTCCGCATCTGCAAAATGAGCTGGAGAAGGAAATGGCAAACCTCTCCAGTATCTCTGCCAAGAAAAGCCCAATGGTGGTCACAAGAGAGTCTGAAACCACCGAACAGTAACAACATGAGTCTGAGAAAGGGGGGAGGATCTACTTGGAAACGAAGATGGCAATGTACAGAGAAGGGCTGGCAACAAAAAGAAACTGGATTTGGGAAAGGAGCTCCTCACCAGGAGAATGTGCATCTGGGTGTGTCACAGCCACATCTTGATAATTGGAAAACTGAGACAACAGCTAACTTGTACAAAGGGCCAAGATCTGGGAGGAAGGTGAGTCTGCACTTATCACTTCCAAAATCAAGCCAGGCAACTTATTGTGCAGCAGGCCCTTGTGTCCTCGGGCCTTCCGTTGGTGCCCTGGGTTTTCCTTTGGCCTGTGCCAGCACTATTCACCAAACACTTATTAAGCACTGGCTGTGTGCAGAACCACAGGCCAGGAGGCAGCTCTGGGTGAGATAGGGAAGTCTGGATCAGACATGGCCCTCACCCTCCTGGAGCACAGGGTTATCCTACACGCCCCAAGAGCTGCAGGGTGAAAGAGTACAGGAAGAATGCACGTCAAGGGAGGCAGGAGGGGGCAGAGGCTCCAGCTGGGAGAGGAGAGCGGGGCAAGGGTCCCAGAGGGGAGAGGAGAAAGGAGTCCAGGGAGGCAGTGAGGGGGCGGAGGTCCCAAATGGGAGAGGAGAGGGGGAAGAGAAGGGGGTCAGAGATCCTGGTGGGGAGAGGAGAAAGGAGTCCAGGCAGGCAGGAATGGGTGGAGGTCCCAGCTGGGAGATGAGAGGGAGGCAGGGCTTCACAGAAGGGACATGAGTTGAGGACAGAAATTCAGGGATGGGGTCAGGGTTTCTGGGCACAGGCCTGGGGAGATCTGAGCTTGTTCATAGCCTAATGGGATAAGTGAAGCAAGGCTGTCCTGCAGAAGCCAGGAATAGCATCGACAGTACAGGCAGAAGGTGGCCGAAGGGCATCATGACACCGTGACAAGTGGGCACAGCACAGGAACTGGAAGGGACTCTGGAAGCATCTGCTCTGACCTTCTCATTTGACACCTGTCCAAGGACCTGGGTTCGAATCTCAACTTTGCCATTCCCTACCTGTTTGACCTTGGGGTCACTTAACATCGACGAATCTCGGTTTCCCCATAATTAAAGTGAGGGGGTTGTACCAGATCCCTCTAAGTCCACGGCCCTCTGACTGCTCTTCCACAAAGACAGGAGGAAAACGAAGCTAGGAGAAGCACGGAGGAGGAAAGCTGGGGTGACTCCCATTCAACACCTTGGCTCTGTCAGGCCCTGAGCGTACACACCTCAGTCCCAGGTTCCTCATCTACAGGAGGCTGATGACCCGAGGCAGGGGGGCCGGGGGAGCTAACCCAAGAGAAGAGGGTCTGACGCTCCAGATGAGACCGCTGGGCCCAAAGCGAGAAAAGGATGAAGCCCAAGCTGGGGGGGCGGGGGAGACTTCCTTCTGCCCGGCCCCCCAACCTGGTGCTAAGTCTTTCCTTTACAGGGGATGAGGCTGGGGGAGGGGCCTGGAGCCAGGGTGGGAGCCTCCCAATGCCAGGACTCCAGGAGTCCAAGACCTCAGCCTTCCCAGCTAGCCGAGGCCATCCGTCCTCACGGTGACAAGGCCAAGGGGGAGAGGGGAGGGGGAGAGCTTCCACTGAGTCGCTCTCCCTCTGTCTCTCTCCTTTTCCTAAATGCTTTATTTTCAATCTCAAACTAAGCCTCCCACAAGTGCAATCAGTGAATGCCAGGTGTCTCACCGCCATCTCTGTGGCAACTTCCTGGGGCCCAAGATGTGGGAGAAAGGGGATGGGCAGGGGGGCCCCGGGACCACCTCCCACCTCCAGCCAGACATCCATCCCTTACAGGAGGAAGGGAGGGAGGGAGGCAAGAAGGGACGAAAGGAGAGAAGGAAGAGGGAGGGAAGCAGAGAGGGAAGAAGGGAGGGAAGAAGGGAAGGAAGGAGAGAGGGAAGAAGGGAGGGAAGAAAGCAGGAAAGAAAGAGGGAAGAAAGCACATAAGAAGGTAGGGAAGGAGGCAGGAAAGAAAGAGGGAAGAAGGGAGGGAATGAGACAGGGAAGAAGGGAGGGAAGGAGAGAGGGAAGAAGGGAGGGAAGAAAGCAGGGAAGAAGGGAGGGAAGGAGGCAGGAAAGGAAGAGGGAAGAGGAGAGGGAAGAAGGGGAGGAGAAGGGCAGGGGAGGCCGGGAGGAGGCTGGCAGACGCAGACGTGCCCCTCCGTGCCCGGGCTCCCCCAGCTGGGCTGGGGCGCCTGGAGCCCCCACGATCACCTGTCTGGGTCCACTTCCTCATTTTACACGTGAGGGCCAAGGAGGGGAAGGGGCTCCCCGAGTCGGGGTCGGGGGCCTCCCAAGAAGGTCTTCTCTGGCCCTGGGCTCCACCTGGTCCCGGGCACGCTCCAGTCCCCCACCCCCACCCCGAAATGGCAGGAGGGGAAGAAGCCCCTCCTGCCCCCCCCCCCGCCCCAGCTGTCATCTACCCCGGGCCCTCTCCCCGTCCAGCCCTGACCTCTCTCGGAGCCGCAGGCCTGCAGGACACGTCCACCTGGGGGTGCCCCCCCAACGTCAAGCTCCATGTGCCCCGAACTAAAGTCCCCGCCCCCCCATCCAGGATGGCCCCGAGTCTCCTCCCGCACACACCCCCCCTGTCCCGGGCCCCTCAACCCCTCTGGGGCCGCCTCCAGGACTGTCTGCAAGGCAGCCGCTCTCCTGCCTCCGCGCCTTTGCCCAAGCTGTGCCCTCCGCGGTCAAATGGGTCCGAGGACCCCACCCCCGCCCAGGCGCTAGGGATGGGAGGGGTGGGGAGATATTGGAGGGCTGCGAGGGGCTGACCCCCCCAACAGGCCGGCAGCTCCCCGAGGGTAGCGGGGCCCACCGGGCAGAGCCCCCCGCCCGGCCCAGGCCTCGCCCCCCACCTCCCCTGGCCTCGAGCGCTCACCTCTCTCAGCTCCTGCGGTTCCTCAGGGGGAGGTGACTCCGGAGTCTGCACCTCCCTCCGCCCGCTGCTCCTCCAGCTTCCCACAGGGCACCGCGCGCTCCCAGGCCACCCTCCCCCGCCCTGACCCGGCCCGCGCACGCGCACGCGCCTCCTGTCCAGAGCGATCGGGCACGCGCAGGCGTACGGCCTGCCCCAGCCCCGGCCGCGCGCCTCCGCGCCCGTCACGTGCCGCCCCGCCCAGCCCGCCCCCCGCGCTGGGCCCCCCCCAGCTCCCCTAAACTGTAGGCGCCCAAAAATCACCGTCAGAGACTCAGAGCCGGGGGGACCTTGAGCACAGACCTCGAGCCCAATCCTTCATTCTACAGATGGGGAAACTGAGGCTCGGAGAGGGGTCGGTGCCCTGCATCTCCCCAAACCTGACAGAGCCCCGGGGCCCCCTCTCTGGGCCACACCTCCTGGGGGTGAGGACGCGACCAGACTGCCCCCCTGAAATGGCCCGGGGGGAAGGAGAGTGCCCCCCAGGGCCCCTGGTCAGGGAGCCCCAGCAGGGGAAGATCCCGAGACATCACCACTCCCCATATCTCCTGCCCTGCACGTGTGTCCCAGCGCTTTAAGAGCCTTCTCCCTTGGGTGACCCCTTCACTGGTGCAGGCATCCACCCCTCTAGTCTGGGCCGAGGGCTTCCACCGGCCAGGGGTCCAGCTTGGCAGACTGAGTCCGGGATCAGAATGGGAAGCCCAAAGTCCTTGAGCCGCAGACAGGCGGTCACCCGTCGCCTCCGTGTCCAGAGAGCCCGGCCCAGGGGCCACATTCCCTCTCCTCTGATCCTCAGCCTTGGGGCTTGTGTCCAAGGAGACCGGATGGATGACAAATGGGCCACTGGTCCGAGGGGAAGACAGAAGGGGTCACAGACAAGCAGGGAAGCTTTGAAAGGTCGAAGGGGAATGGATGGGGCGTGGACCGTGTCACCTACGATCCTCACGCCTCCTTTTCAACATGGTCATGCTCATTTTAGTGGGTGTTTGGCAAATATTAAAACAAAATTTTTGAAGAGTGGAAGCTCCCTGAGGGTAGACTTTTTACTTTTCCTTTGTATTCCCAGATTTTAGCACAGTGCCAGGCATGTAGTAAATACTTAATAAATGCTTGTTGGTTGGAGAGAGAGAAAAATGGAGACAGAGAATGAGGGAGAAGGGAGGGAGGGGAAGAGAGAGAGAGGGAGGAAGGTCTCTAGACAGACTGCAGGAAGGAGGGAATGGAAGAGGAAGAGGGAGGGAGAGAGCAGGAAGGAGGTGGAGAAGGAAGGAGAAATTTTTGAAGGAGGAAAAGAGAAAGGGAGTAGTTATGACATCAGACAGAAAAATGCAGCACCCTTTGGCCAAAGTGGTGATGAACCTTCAGACAAGTAAGGTATGAAAACAGCGTGGTATAATGGATGGATTACTGTTTGTCCTTCAGAGGAAGACCAGTGACCTCAGGAAGGTGATGCCATGCCTTGCAGGTGAATTGGATTTAAGTGAGGCAGTGCTGTGCAAAGTCTGGTGACTCACTTCCTCCTCTGGAGCCATAAGGGCCCAGTGGCCAGACATAGATCAGGACGCCCGGAGGTGGCCCCCATGCAGTGGGAGACCTTGGTCTTTTTAAATTAAGGTCTTTCTCCCGTCTCAGTTTGTCTGAGGCAGCAGATGGGCAAAGCAACTACCCTGGAGTCAGGAAGACTGACTTTCCACAGTGCATTGGCACAAAAATAATGTGATATCCCTCAAGCAAATTACTACCTCCCAGGGCCTCAGTGGCCTCATCTGTGAAATGAGGGGAGCTGAGTTAGGTGGTCTCTCAGCTCCCCTCCATCTCTAAGTCTATGATTCTAAAGCCCAGGTTTGAATCCCACCCTGGACACTCGCCAGCTGTGTGACACTGTAAAAGTGGCTGAACCTTTCACAGACTCGTTTTCTCATATATGAGGATAAAACAGCACCTCCCTCTCAGGACTGTCACGAGGGTCACATGAGACAGAATCGATGTGAAGCACTTTGTTTGAACTCTTCCTTTAGGCTTAGGGAGGTTAACATAGTATAGGAGGTCAGGAGAGGACCCGACCCCAGGATTTGTCTCCCAGTGTAATCCTACTTCCACCAGGTCCAAGAAGCATTCATTAATCACCTGCTGTGTGCCAGACACTGTGCTAGGCTCCTAGGATTTAAAAATAAATAAAAAGCGATGCCCTCAGGGAGCTAATGATCTGTTGGGGTTGGTGCCTCAAACAGTTCTCCAAATGTCTCTGATGCTTAGTGGAGTTGTGAGCATAGCGGGGCAGATACAGCTCTCCTTCCCTGGGAGCTCCTTCTAGCACTGAAATCGCAGGGAGATGGACCTCTCCCATCCCCGAGAGCTTCGCCATCTCCTCTGCTGGGCTCTCTCCAGTCTCCTTGCTGCCTCGTCCCCATCCTGCTCCTAAGTGAGGGCATCCCCAAGGGTCTGACTTACAGAGTCCTTGCAACCTGGCTGACCTGCCTGTGCAGTCTCAGGATGTCGTTCTACTTCCCAGAGCTCCCTATTACTTCGCCAAGTTTCTCCACGTCCAGCCTCATTCTCTTTGCACTGCTGTTCCCTTCAGCCTGTAATGTCCACCCCCTCTCCTCACCTCCACCTTAGAGAATCCCTTGCTTCCTTCAACGTGCAAGCACCACCCTGAGGCTCTTACATATTTCCTGACCCCCTCCAACTATTTTTGCCCTCCCTCCCTGACCTAGCTTGTATTTACTCTATTTGTTCTCTTTTATTTGTATATTCTGTCTCCTCTGAGAGAATATAAGTTTCTTGAAGGTCTGGCCCCAGCCCTCAGCACAGTGCCTGGCACATAGTAGGTGCTTCACAAATCCTTGCTGATTTTAGAAACTGAGTCCTACAGTTTCCTCTCCTTGAAGTCGTGAGGTGTGCAGGTAGAGACCAAGCTGTCTGTGACCTGGGTACGCCCAAGGCCTTCTAGGCAGGAAGCACCTACTAAGCCTTTGCTGATGGGCACTACGTCCTGAGCATAAGCCACAGACCTTGACAGAAGCCAATGGGCTTTGCTTTTCCTGCGTCCCTGGGCCAAAGTTAGCCAGGAGAGCAAATCCACACAGATGGATGGACATTCGAGGAAGTCTCATAGACAGCCAGCGTGCTATCGAAGGTCAAGCCAGGACAGGAATGAGAAAGAGGCTCCTGCACTGGTCCACAGTTTGTTATGTGAGAGAAAGAGCACGGAAGAAAAGGAAGAATAATATTGATAAGACTTTCTACCGATTTAGGTGAGATTAAATTAAAGCATTTTTTAAGCTGTTACTATGTGCCAGTCACCGTTCTGAGTGCTGAGGAAGAAAGAAACAAAGAAGGAAAGAAAGAAAGAAAAGAAAAGAAGGTCTTTGCCCTCCTGGAAGCTTACATTCTCATGGGGAAAGACGAAGAGGAAAACTGAAAAAGTTTGGGGAGGAAAGGTCCTCCATCTCCTATCCCTGGTGTGCCCTTCCTCCTTACCTCTATCTCTTAGAATCCCATTTCCTGCCTGATTGCCCTCCCCCTCCAAAAAAAGTTACCTTGTATCTATCTTGTATATTGTTCTTTATATTTATGTGAGTATACATTGTTTCCCTTGACAGAGGGTAAACTCCTTGAAGGCAGGAAATTTCATTTTGTATCCTCAGTGACTAGTACAATGCCCAGCACATAGTCGGTGTTGAATAAATGCCGATGACTGTTGATATTTTTGTATTTAATATATGGATTATGGCTTATGGATATATACACATTATCTTCTGTGGTAGAGTATAAGTTCCGGGTGAGCAAGGACTGTTTCATTCTCTGTTCTTGTATCTCCCTAACTTAGCATGGTGCCTGACTAAGAGGAGGGGCTTTATAAATTAATGCTTGTTGACTGATTTATTAGCATGTCAGGATTCTAATGTTGGGAAATGGTGAGTCCTTCAGACACATTTCTGCACATGCCTTCAACTCAGCTTATAAAAAATATATTGGGGCTCAGATTCTTAAAATCTAGCCAATAGCTGAGATTCACTCTACCCTGCTTGCCAATACAAGTGTCACAAATGTTCAGATTCCTTAAGACTCTGGGCAGTATGGTGAATCTTTAATAAACCTTGGCTTTGCCTGGAAAAAAAAATATTGGGACAGTTTCTAAAATGGCCCTCAAACAAATGCCTTTTTTTAAAATGCCAGGGCCGGGCGGTGGGGGGGGGGTGAGTTGCTCTCCAGCTCTCCAGATGTAGAGGGTCTCTCGCTGCTCTGCAGTGAGCCTCCCGGTCCCTCCCAGGAGGGGCCAGGGTCCAAAGGTGTCAGCGAAGTCTAGGACCCAGCCCCACTCTGCCTCTGCCTCCTTCTTTCCAAAGTCCGGAAGCCAGGAAGGAACTTCTCACTTGTTTACTTACCCTGGGAGGGAGAGGGAAGAGAGGAATATAAATCCACCCTGGCATATTAAGTCACACAAAGTCACCAAGCAAATTAATGAAAGGGTTGGCCAAGGGACAAGTGGAAATAGGGCCCTGAATCTGGACACAGAGGATCTGGGGTCAGGTCCTGGCTCTGGCTACTTGCTGTCTGTGTATGACCTTGGGTCCCCTCCTTTCCAAGAGTGTGGAAAATCCTTCCCTCTGTGGTCCCATTAGCCCTTATACAAGCCCTGAGGAAACTGCTGCCATAGGCCTTTCTCATCGATAAAGGAGTATTTACTGAAAGCCTGTTAAGATGCCTGAGCCAAGACCTTGCCTGTCTCTGTGCCTCAGTTTCCTCATTTGTAAAATGAGATAACTGGACCTGATCTCTAAGGTCACATTCAGCTCTAAATACTATTGCTGTCGCTGTTGTCTGTCCTTGTTCTCGAAGAGGACCATGACATCGGGGAGGTGATGCCATGACTAGCAAGTGAATTGGATTGAAGTGAGGCAGGGCTGTGCAAGGTCACCAGCCTCACTTTCTTCTCCTCTGGAGGCATCAGGCCCAGTGGCCAGATATCGATCAGGACAACTGGAGGTGGCTCAGGATGCAATGGGGGACATCGGCCTTTTCAAGCTAAGGTCTTTAACAGGTCCAAGTTTGACTG